CTCTTTCCCCCTATAATTCTCTTTCTAATTTATTACTTTAATGTTGGCTTTTTTTTTTTTTTTATACTAAACAATTTGCACGTAACACCTAACATCTTTCCAACTCTACGTTATTCTTATGGATATTATGCACGCGTATGCTTTTATGGACTATCTCTGCATAAAACAATGCAAACGCATAGATAGTATTTTGCAAAAGGCATTTTACAACAATAACGATAATGATGATGATATCGATAGTGATAATAATTGTGATGTTAATGTTGGAAACGGTGGAGATGAGAATCGCATAATTGACATAACAACTAACTCTCGTCGTCATTATTCATTAACTGAAATCGAAAACTGTGATAACTTGGCTATAAGGGACTTGTCATCAAACTCTGATTCACTCTTTGCAGATACACCTTTATCAACACAAAGCACCGGTACACCGCTGGCAGCTGTTGTAGCTGAACAATGTCTAACTCTCTCTGATGGTGATGCAACAAATTATCCAAACACTGTAGAAACGTTGCATTCCGTAAATAATAATCTTCATACGCGTGACTTATTACATTCCCGTTTAGTGCGCTCGCCAAGTGCATTTAATGCCTTAAATGATATAAAAGAAACACGAAACCGACCACTTAGTGGTATTAGCATTAATTCGGCTGCTACTTCCAGCATTTTGTCACCAACTACAGCAAGGGCGATTTTAGATTTGCAAAGACGCCATCAGGCGGACAAACTATCGCAGCTATCGGTATCGAAAACTACATTTTTAGAATTATTACCCTCCCGGGAAGCCTCAACCGAATCCAGTCCAGAATTAGAAGCCGAATGCATCGATGAGCAAATGGCTATGCATTTAGGTACAAAATTAGCTCAGTTACTAAGCGAGAGCAATAGTAACAGTAATGGCACTACTGCTGCCATCAGTACGATGAGTGTCTCTAATGTTAACTGTTATTCAAACACTTTACCAATTGATCATATGACACTTTGCACTGCCACGCCAGCGACCGCAATACCTTCTAATGAATTATTTAACATATCCAAGGCGAAAAAAATCGATTTGCCCAGTTTATCGTGTCCTTTAAGGGCCAGCACCCCACAAACAGAATCGCTCAATGTGAATAACGGTAAGACGCCGCCTCTTAGGAGGACATTTTTTTTTTTTTTTTTTTATTTACTACCAGCATTATTTATACCTAAATGCTTTAAACTTTTAAAATCGAAATTTTTTCCATCAACCAAACCTCATACTCATCTATTTAACTCTCTATAACTTTCTTAACATTCCTCTTAATTACATGTACATTAATTTATTTCCATTTCATATTTAATTCGAATAAACGGCAGTACCAGTTACGTCTTCACCTTCATCAGGCAGAAGGGCGGTAACTTCGCCGGAAACTCAGTCAACCGTTATCATTTCATTTAAATCATCCCAAACACCTGTTCAGTCTCAAACGACAACACCCGAAGAGAATGAGTATTTCCGCGAAACGTGCGGCAATGTTGCTTTACCCATCCAAGAAAAGTCTGCTCATGAATCATTGCCACGCAATTTTATTAACAGCACAGCTCGACCAACCACACCAACAACACCCAGAGCCTCCAAAAACAACGTGCTTAGGAAAGTTGCTACATTTACGGTTGAAAAGACACCACCAACTACCAATGCCAACATTATTAGTGGCGTTAGTTCTATTACTGGTACGTCAACGCATATGGAGAATATCAGCGGAAAACGTTCTTATTATGTACCAGAAAAATTAAATTTTGCTTCATATGAAAAATTCGAAGGTAAGCAGTACTTATTGCGAAAAAAAAATTTTAAATGTTATACGCGAACAAGGCCAGCTATCAAATGTACCCTACACCAGTAACTATTCCCTATTACAATCAAAATTATGGTAGTTACCTTTGATGAAAGCCTTTAGGATGCTCGGAAAGGATCGGAAAAATAAATATTTAAATTGACTGCAGTTAATTTAAATATAAACTCATTGTTTTATAAAAATTTTTATCATAAAATTCTAAAAGTTGGATCTTCTTACCATGCTTTTGGTATGAAAGTTTGTACACGAAAGCGTTTGGTAAAAACAATCCTTTTCCTTGCAAATGTTCCACATTCCACGTCCACTACGCATAAATACTATTTTTCATCGAGATTTGACGAGAAACATGCAAAATGGGAAATTTTTTTCATATAAGGCACATGACGCCATTTTTCAAAACGCATTCGCCAAGTATAACAAAAGCAAAGATCGTGAAAAATGCTTCAATTCAAACTATTCTCAATAGCGTTCGTCCTTGGAAATGTAAAATTTCATCAAAATGCTTTGAAAATTTTTCGGTTTTAGTTTGGGCACAAATTTTTGTTACCTCTAACCTCTAACGGGCAGATGGGCTTAAATCGATTCAGAATGATTTTTTATCTACAAAAGGCTGCTACATCTCTATTACCAGAGTTTTTCACGGACGGATGGGTTTAAAATGATTAAAAATGATTTTCTATCTCCAAAAGATCGTTCCATTTCTCTTCCTTTCGAATGCTGCATACACTTATGCACACTGAATATGCTTATGCCACAAGTAGAGAATGGTGTAAAAAACGTTTATAATGCTTAAAACTGTATGGATTTTTATACAAAAATGATCTTTACTGCACATATTCCAGCATTTATGGAATATACGCTATATACTCTCAAATGCTCAGCTCGTACGTCCATTGATCTTATTTGAATTTGTTTAAAACTTGGTGATTGAAATTTTTTGAAATTTAAGAAACTGATAATTTGACCGTAATTCGAATGTCCAATGCAGTTAGTACAATCATCTTATGTAAGTGGTGGTTAGTGGAATTAATTTTGGAATTTTCATAAAAAGGTCATCCAAGACTATATGTTTTTTAAATGTGCTGGCTACAACACTGCTCGAAGAAAGAACGAGTAATATTCTGAGCGATTCCACTTCATCGACATCCATGTGATTGAATCAACTGAAGGGCTAATCAGCCAAATGGTTGGTATGGCATGCGGCATTTTGTATAATTGTCCGTTTGACTACCATTTCAATTGAAACGATTGTCCTTTGTTAATCGACTTTAATCAGTCACGTTTCTTTTCTTTCCCTTTCACGTTTTTGTGTGCTCTTTAAAATAAACAAAAGTGATGAGGTTTATATGGCAGGCAGTATCAAAGACGAGATAGATTAATTGTACAAAAGTTCTGGATTACGAACTGTCAACATATTTGTGAATGCACTTTTTGTTACTAGCATTTCGATATTCTAAAATCGAGACCCTTAAGTTCGATATTCATAGCCTCATTGAGTTGTTCGTTTTTAATCCCTACGCTCTTTATGGTACAAGGCTATATTAGGTTTGTGCGAATGTATGCAATATCCAGAAAAACGTGAAATAGGCTCATACTTTAATTTTACCGATCGATTCAAAATCATTTTCTAAATCGTTTTAGGCTTGTCTGTCTCTCCTATATATTCTTTTGTGCAACCTGCAGCTCGTAATTTTTGGCTCAAGGATAAATGCTTTTAACAATGCTTCGGATCGAGTCAATTTTTCTACAAGTTTTCCTATACAAGGCTTGCGCATATAGGCCATGGCCATTAGGAAAAGCGACCGAAATGACTTTCCTAATAGGTTTGTAGAACACTAATACATACTGTTGCAGTTTTAAACACGTTAGGCTCAAGACGGGATTGTAACGTATTTCAAATCAATCCAATAGATATAAATATTAAGACTGAAGTTATTAAAGCTGTTGTTCGCCATCTGTGTTCATCTTTGAAATGAACTGTCATCTCTTGTCAATGGATTGTTTCGGTTCGCTCCGCATCAACTCTGAAAGTAGCAACTGTGTCAAAACAGCATGTTCTAGTCCTCTAGAAAACAACCGTAAGACCCGCAACCGTTTCGAAACAGTATTCCAGAATCTTCCACTTATCAAAATGAAAAATTTTGCTAAAATCTGAATCGGTAGCAATCTTAAGGCAATAACGATTTTTGCGTCAACTAAGCAACATATCGCCAAGTTTTACTATAATCGGATACCTTCTCTTTTTCTCAATTTTAATCGCACCTCATTCTTCTTGAAAGAATCAAAGGATATTTTGGGAACTTGTTGTGCACTAAACCGCAATCTTGATCCGAGCGTTTGCTATAATTTCCGAGAATGTGTCCGGGTTTTTGATTTCTAGTCCACTTTTATTGTATGTATGAAGCATTTCATGGTAATCAGCTTTCCATAGAAAATTACTGGTGGTGGCTAACGCTGTTATATAAACTTTTCGGGCCAACTTCTTTGAGCTCAGTTTAATAGATTCTTTATGACTGCTAGCAGTTATCTAGTGAGTGGCCAAAAATTTTTTTAATTTCTCTCCTCTCTTCAAATTAGTCTTAAATGTCTACCATAAAATAAGGTAAACCAGTTATTATCATATCTATACAAATAGAATACAAATAGAAAATATTAAAATTTTTCATATTTTTCAAATATATAGCTTTTCACCTTGTGTGTACGTTTCCTTCATAAAATATACATTGTCAGTCGTCAATGCTTTTTCATCTATTGGAAATAATGGCGACCATCTCTTCATTTATTTATGATTTTTCGATTCTTCTAACATCAGCTTGACATCAAAAAGTACTCTGATGAACATATAAAAAAGAAACCCCATTAATTTAGTGAATTTACTTATTTTATTTACTTATTTATTTTATTTTTAATTTCATGACAGGTCAAATGCTTATGAAATGGTTCATGTCCTCACTGCAAGCGAATAACGCTTTAAATCTACATGAACAGGAAATGACTGCCCTTACGCTTCAGTATTGCAATAATCTAATTCAAGTTGGAGTTTTAAAGCAAATTTCCGAGAAAAATGATTTGGAAACATTTAGTGTAAGTTTATTACGAATTTATTGAACTTGCTTCGAAATCAAACGGTGTGACAATTCAGGACTGCTAGCGACCAAACGTATAGTGGTATTTAAAAGCAATGCAAAGGAATAGGGAACCTTCGATCGAAACCAGTCCTATCAATCATATCAATATTATTTTTTAAAAGTACAGATGCGCATATATTGCGACATCAATCTCTGTTGATGTTCTGATCACGATAGAAAACATTGTAGCAAAGGCACGCAAACAGCTATAACTATGACGTTATTCGTAAGTTATTGCAAACATATTGCAAGATATTGCTTAAAGACAAAATCAGGACCGTCTCACTCAATCCGTTCATATGCGGACGCAAACTTATCCAATTATTTTAACAATAAACCCTTTTGTTCGACTCAGGCGACGAAAGCATGAGATGAGCTCATTGAGATGTGGAAAACGATAACAAAATGTAATAATATTTTTTAACAGCCTTTTCAAATGTATCAATGGACACATACTGAGGCGCCTACGACATCGCAGCCACTAACTCCCGGTAAGTTGGATAAAACTTCTGCCTGGCCTTACAGCGTTGCTTCCGTTGGAACTGAGACACCAAAAACATCGAAAAGTGTTCAATTGTATGAAACGTTACGCAAAACACCGAAACGATCTTCGCAGCTAACGGATCTATTGAATGCCAGCGAAACTACAATTTATCAATACGAAAAAATTAATGATAATACTAGCTCGGGTTGTGAAAGTGATATACTGGAAGCTGCAGTACAAACGGATTCCATTTTTGGGGAAACTCCATGTTCTCAGTGCAGAAATATCATAAGTAATATAGAGAGTAAAAAAACTTGCGATAAGGAAATTCAGGTTAGAATTTATACCGAAGACGAAGAAAGTACAAACGCAAATATTTGCCGCACACCATCTCAGCCTTCATCTTTAGTATCGCAGCCTCCGCCACCACCGCCTCCGCCTCCATTACAAGCCAATTTCCCGCCACCACCGCCTCCGCCCCCTTTAAAAACCAATTTTCCGCCCCCACCGCCTCCGCCACCTTTGCAAGCCAATTTTCCGCTAGCGCCAGCACAAATTAAAGATACGAAATTAGCGCCTCCCCCTCCTCCACCTTCTGCACCCACGCCAAAGGACAGTGCTGAAGTGCCAGCATCTCTTCCTCCAGTAGAAATGCAAAAATCGGCAGCCGCTAATTCGCCTGCCCCACTTCCCAATCCGGCTGGAAGCAGTTGGTTTCGCCATAACAGTAGTAAGTATTTATTTATTAAGTAAATTTTTCAATTAATTAATTAAGTAATTGCGCTCCCTGTGTATTCTTATATTTCAGTGCTACGCAAGACGGCTGTAAATCCTCCGAAACCGATGAAACCCCTCTATTGGACAAGAATTGTAGCTCCTGTGCCGTCTTCTTCGATGCCTTTTAACAAACAAGCTAACACTGAGGACGTAATAGATTCCAGTATTAGTTCACACGAAGAGGTTGTAGCAGCCGAACCAGTGCCGCCAAAAGAAATTTGGCAAGAAATTGATGAGACACGTTTAGATAATATCGACGAATTTACGGAGCTCTTCTCCCGCCAGGCTGTGGTACCCATTAGCAAGCCAAAAGAAAAGACTGATATCCGCCAGAAAACCATAAAGATACTGGATAGTGAGAGATCTAGAAATGTCGGCATTGTTTCCCGTTCTTTGCATGTGGATTTTTACGAAATCGAGCACGCTATTTATCACGTGGATACCTCTGTTGTTAGTTTAGAGACATTGCAACAAATTATTAACATTAAGGCTACAGATAAAGAATTGGAACAAATTAAAGAGGCTGCCCAAAATTCTATACCCCTTGATTATCCTGAGAAATTCTTATGGAGAATATCGCAAATATGTATGTCGACGGAGCGCATCTCATGCATTGTATTTCAAGCTGAATTCGAGGAAGCGGCCACGGTAATTAAGCGCAAACTTGAGGTTGTCAAGCAATTATATCAATTCCTTATACAAAGCGCTGAGCTCAAACTGCTTTTCTCAATTATATTAACTTTGGGCAATTACATGAACGGCGGCAATCGTCAACGTGGCCAAGCCGACGGTTTCACTTTAGAAATTTTAGGCAAATTAAGAGATGTCAAGTCCAAAGAGTCCCATATAACTTTGCTACATTTCATTGTTAGAACTTATATCGATCGTAAACGTAAGGAGGGTGTGCAATTAATGGAAATACCCCTACCGATCCCTGAGCCTTCAGACGTCGAAAGGGCTACTCAAGTTGACTTTGATGAAGTCAAACATCAAATTGTCGAACTAAGTCGCAAACTTAAGCGTAAGTTCAATACTGGGTGCGCAAGCAACCATCTTGACATATCAAAAATAAATCACTTCTATTCTTTTCGATGTTCTTTAGAGCGTAAAGCGACAACGGAAAAAGTCATCATAAATTCGACTGAAACAACATTAGAGCCCTTCAAATCGAAAATGGAAGAATTTATAGAAATCGCTACGAAAACTATTGATGAATTGCATACAGAGTTGGACGACTGCCGTGACATGTTCATCGAAATAATGAGATTTTATCATTTCATTCCGCGATCAGGGAGCCTAGAGCAATGCACGCCCAGTCAATTCTTCGAATATTGGACCAATTTTACAAATGATTTCAAAGAAATATGGAAAAAAGAAATTGCATCACTTTGGAATGAATTGTAATGCTTCTTCTTCTACATATTTATTTATTAATTTGTATTAATTTTTGTGCGTCCTTTCACAGGCTAAGAAAGTCAAGAGAATTGCAAACAGGTTCCCGTAGAACCGCGAAGACTACAAAACTGAAACCTGGTGGCCTCAAAGATCGAATTATGCGCCTCAACAAAAAATAACTTTAAATTTTTGATTTTCTTCTTACACTATTTACGGCCTACGTTTCTAACTGTCGCACTCAAACGCACTTGCATTTTTAGAAAGTAATAACCGATACACTCGCATACGAACACATAAAACGAAAATCATTTTGGTGAATTAAGTTTAAGTTAATACATTATTTTTAAAATGTTTTTTTTTTATTTTTCGTTATTTAACTTCTTCTTTTTTTTTATATATATATATTTTACACGCATTCAAGAAAAAAAGGAACTAAAAAATTGAATATATTTTATTTGGTTCCTACTCATATATAAATAAATATTTACTAATTGTTAGTCTAAAATGGAAAGAAAAAAAAAATGCACATAAGAAGCGATTTCGGATTAGAATTCCATGTAGTAATCCACTAATACATTCTTATGCCTATAAAATAAATACGAGGAGTGGTAACCTACTCTAGGGAGTATACAACATAAACCAAAAATTAAGCGCCTATTCGTGGCCAGCATATCAGAACGCATTTAATTCACTTATCTTCCTTTAATATGTGAATTTGGAGAACATGTTTGCCCTTGTTTCGGAAAATTAAAAGAACACCGCCTTCATTACTTGTTTGTGTTCAACTAAAGAACTCGGCGTTTTCTCTCTTTTTTTTTTCGTGCAGACCACTGCACCTGACCAAAGAGAATAAAGCTTTACATTTTTTTTTTTACAGAAATAATTATTGCTAACATTATGAAGAACTGATATTAAAGCCACTTCCTTTTCCCTATTCTTATTATTATTATCTAAGAAGTCGAACGCTTGTTTTTTATTTTTATATCGTACACCGCCGGTACATTAAGTTCGTGCAAAAGTATGTAACACCCAGAAGAGCTTAAAATAGATCTAACTTTTATTCATTTTCTGAATCGATCTAAATTTATCTGTCTCTCCGTCTGATGTCTGTCCATGTGTTGTTGTGTTCAATTTACAAGTCGCAATTTTTAAGATATTTTGATGGAATTTGGTACACTGACATGCTTTGACCCAAGGCGAACACTATTGAAAATGATCCGCCAAAAATATAACGCCTTAGTATAAAAAATCGTTGCAGAGAAAAAGATTACAATTTTCAAACTTTTTCGACAAATCCACGCTAAGCAATACTACTTGATATGAAAAAGTTGGCTCAGCTGTGGCAACTTTTTGAAACTCCTTTCGTATAACCTATATCTTTGCAGGGTAAGAACGTATAGTTTTTGAAAATTTCGTGGTGAAAGTTGGTTACTGAATTTGTATCACGTAGGTCTTTTTTGGGCCTAATTTGGATAGCACAACATATAGGGATTCTTAGGCAATGTAAACCTTTCTGTGCCAAAAAGATCTAATTACTGGCATTTTATGGTGAAAATGTGTCCATTATAGTAATTTGAGATAAAAGTTAGGTGGACCAAATTTGAACAGCATGGTCTATTCTATATCTAAAAAATATGCATGATGATCTATTTAACACGCTCTGCTGAAAAGAAACCTTATTCCGTAAACCGCGAAGTTCCTTAAGACGAAAATGATAATTTATATACTCATTTAGTCATTTATACATGATATTTAGCTAACACCCGAACTGAGCGAAAAAAAAATTGTAAGTCAGAAAGTTCTCACTTGAGCTTTTTTGATAGAAATCCATATAAATATATAAACGAAACGCAGAAAAAAATAGAAAGAAAAGGAAAAGGAACCATATACACATCTGGCCCACGGGGCACACTCGCAACCGATGTTCATCAGGGCTAGAAACATGCCACAGTACCGACATAAACATGCATACACTTGGTAGCCGATAACAGATGACCGCCTCGCAGGAACTGGGGTTAAAAAAAACCTTAACGATCTCTTCTGCTATGATTTTTCTGGCAGAAAGTCATCCTGAAAAGAGGAAATTGACGTTTTGGTAAGGAAAACTAATGGCCAAGTCACAATTAGTTCAAAGAGAGAGGCACGTTTCTAGAAGAAACGCCTAAATCCGTTGTTGACTAAGATAAGCTAAACTAAGTCTCTATCCGGAACTAGGTCTCTATCTAGTTTCTGATTTGATATGGGTAACTATCAGTTAAATCGGAACAAGCAATAGAGAAATTTCAACTGATGTATTTGTCAAAGAGATTCGAGGTTTGAGGCCATTAAGTGGAATGGAGAAGGGATATACGGTTATTCTTCTTTTAGAGTTGACAAATTTAAGAAAGTATTTAGGATTACAAAACAGACCGTGGATTTTACTCTATGAAGGTAAAAACTCTAACGATAACTTTGATAGTAAAGTTTAGTTACCTAAATCTGCGTCTCACCGAAGAGTAGACGAAATAGTCATCGGCAGATACACTTTTCATATGTTTTTTAAAAAATTTGTTTTTCTTATTCTTTTAACCTTTTTTATTTAATTACGTGCCGAGTGGATTCCTCTAAATTAAAGGTAAACTATTAGAGTAATATTTATTTAAACAAAGTTTAACCGGGTTATTGTGGAGATAATATTCAAAAATGTAAGAATACACATTACTATCCAAACAACCTTAGTCCCTCAATTTCGATATGCTGATCAGTACGTTGTTCATTTTCAACACGTTCTTGACCATCTTGTTTTTTTGCTTCAAAGGATCTATTTATCATCGCAATCGCTGGAGATCAATGCCAACTGAAATCTGGTCATCTTAGTTCACAACATTTAGGTATAGAAGAAAAGGAGAAAACGAAAAACAAAAAAAAAAAGATCATACGCAAGAAAGAGAGAGCTAATGACTAATGTACAGTCTACAAATTACTAATGTATTACATCGTGTGTGCATAAGCCGCCAAACGCAGCTGATAGGTTGCATAGGCAACC